CAGAGGGCGAAATCACTACGGCCTTCTCGAAAACATAGCAAGGATTTCTTCTCCCATCCTCGTTGTTCCTTCGGATACTCAAATCTAGGTCTGAATCTACAAATAAAGATATTAGGCATCGACCAGCCTAAGCTTTGAACGTGCCCTTTCTGGTAACGCGCTAACTGTCTAAGACTCATGCTCCGCCTAGACTGATCCACGGCTTGAGGTACATAAGATAACAGGTACAATAAATAAATAAATAATAAACACAATCAACATATAACAATGGTTTATACCTAAGCCTTTTGAAAAAGATGTTAACAAAGTGTGACTAATAATAGTAGTAATGTTAGCGACTTAAGTGGTTTTTGATAATCCTCGACGTCTCGAGAGCCGCTTCACGACTCAATCGCTCCACCATATCCCTAGCTTTGTTTGGTCCAATATCGAATGTTTTCTGTAACTTATTATATAATCCAACTGGTATCTCACCTGAAGCGCCGATAACTACCGGTATAAACCGGACTTCCCACTCTGTAGTGTCATGAACATCACTGCAGAGGTTCGGTCCAGATCTATACGGTAGATCGTTGTCGTCCTCTTGTGGTAGAGTGTTCACTGTGTAGCAATTCGTTTTCAATTCGATTTGATGTCGTACACCTGTAACGAAAGGTACCGACACTTCTACCACTATTACGACCTTCTGTTCCCCATCATATAAAACAATGTCGAGCTTTCTATAAACTATAGGTTCTCTAGTCTGCAGCAGCATGCGCCATAAAATTTTGATGTTATTTATGGTAGAGACGGGGGAATTTGGACCGAATAGTGATAAGGCGCGATACCGTATTTTTCACATAACATATGCATTATGCACCTCGCGACATTATCATGTCTCGAGATGTATAATGAGGTCAGCCAATGAGAACAGTGGCTAATCACGTGCTCGACGGTCTCGAGTTCATGTCCACAGACTCTACAGCTCTTGTCACACTGCTCTCCTCGCATCATTGGTGCAGCACGTACTCGGATACACCCCTCTTGTACGGCCAAGGCGTTCCTCAGATTGTCAGGTGCTAATAGACCTTTCTCCAGCCACCACCAAGAAGCCTGGTGATCGATTTTGTCCAGTCTACAGACCCGACCAGCCAAGGGGGATTCGGACCAATTCCCAAAGAGTTTTTCCTCGTAGCACTGCACTAACTTTGTTTAGATCGCATGTGCCAAGTCTTTGTAGTTTCTGTAAGACACGTTGTCAAGAGTGGCTTCGTTGTCGCTAACAGTGATATCGATACCAGTTTCCTTCAGTATTGTCCATCCGTCTTTGTAAATACTACGTTTGTTACCTCTAGAAATAGCCTGGAAAAATCTGAATACATTAGACATGTTTGAGTGTTCAACTACATACGACCACGCAAGAATAACCTGTTTCTTGAGCTCAAGCTCGACTGAGGGCCACCCACAACCCCCGCGAGCGCTGGAGAGGTACAAACAGCTTACCGACTGAGCTTTGAATCTTACCTTCTCAGCCCGCAGTAAATCCGGCACCTCGTTGTCGATGTTCTTAGCCATCGCGGTTAATTCGTTAAATTTAGGAAGCGCCTGTGATGCCACCAAGAACAGGTAACTCAGCTTGGACACAGCAAGTGATAAATACGCTTGTCGTATCTGTCGCCAAGTCAATCCTGATCTCAGTAGCAAAACAGTACGCTCTTTGAAGTCTGCTATAGCCTTGTCGAACGTAGTTCGGTTTTGTCGTAGTGTTTCTTTGACTCCTAGATATTTGTATAGATTTGTCTCAGTAACGAATGGTAGTAAGTCTGTAAAACCTCTCATAGAATCAATATTGGTTGATTGTTTCCGAGGAATAAAGTGCACCCGAGTACATTTCGTCGTGTTTAACTTCAGTCCAATTCCTTCTGATATCTTTCTTACTAGAGACAACTGTTTCTCCAAATCTTCCTTCGTCCTTGAGTACA